GGTATTTTGTTGTGTTTTGGGGCATTTAATAAAATGTTTCACTAAATATTGGGGTTTAATAAGGAGTTGCGCTAATATTGCGCAACATAAAAATTTGCAACTACCACCATTTTATTCTATAGGGTCTTGGCATTCAGAAAATATATAATGTTGGGGGGTTTTAAGTAATTTTCAGGCCTAAAATGTGGAATATAACATGGGTACAAAAAAATGAAAAAAAGGGCTCAGTCATGAAGGGGTTAATGTATTCATTAGAACCATTATCAACGCATTTATAACACACCTTATATACTGTATGTATCTGAATGTATCATTATATTCCTGTTATCTTCAGCTCTACTCTCAGATTGAGGGAAAGTGGGGCAGACAATAGGTCAATCCTGGCTCTGGGAACTTGCTTCTAGAAACAGAGAGATAAGAAACAGCAGAGTGATGATCGTATCCTTATACTTGTGTTCTGTTAATGTGCAGACAGTAAACAAATGGAATTTTGGTGACAAAGCTGTATTTCTTAAAGGAGAACTATGAGGTGAGTGATTTCCACTCATCCTCATAGTTAGAGACGACGTGTGACAAAGAAGCTGTCACAGGTCAGCTGTATCGATCGGGAAGTGAGCAGAAACATGCCGCAGATCCGCTCACTTACCGATCATCTCCCTGCAGTGAGCAGTGACTGTCCCGATCCTCCGGCGCTGAGGGGAGAAAAGAACGAGGGAGGCGGTGGGCACAGCTGGCTCTGCTTCTAGATAGGCTGTCACTCACGCAGCTGTGTGGATCTCGACAGAAATATAGGGATCCGTCCCGGCTGCAGTGCTCTCAGTATAACGCAGGCAAAAGCCCGCTTTATACTGAGCTTTGGGTCACGGGAGAAGGTTAGTACATGTCCTCCTGTGACCCTAAAAAGAACTATGGGGGAAAACGCTTACCCCATAGTTCTCTTTTAACTGCAATGGCAAAAAAGTGAGGTCACTGACCTGAGTATGATGTCTGATTGCAGCGTCTAAATCACAGAACATGTCTTTTGGCAGTTGAGAAAACTTGCATATGTATTCAGCTGTCCAAGCAATGTTCAGCTTTGAAAAGTACAACTTCAGAGTAACTTTAAAACCTTGACTTTCCTGCCCACAAGTGGGTAGTAGCTGTACACTCATAAATAACATAGTATGACCCAAAATTTCCGTTACACCAACGCAAGGTAGGGCACATCCAGCTTTTTTTTTTGGCACAAAGTAGCTCAAAAAGTTGAAGGATAAGGTTGTTTGTTTAAATATTTCAAAAAAATTAAACTGATGTCATTTTTCAACAGGTCTGGATTACAAAAAGATGTCCGAGTCTAGTTCAAGCCCTCTAAAAGCTCTGGAGCCCGTCCTCACCAGTCATAATGTGTTGGCCATTTCTAAACTGGCTTCCAGAATCCCGGAGCTGGATGGCACCATGCTCTCTCCCAGCTCTGTGCATGCTACGTGGCTGAAGAAACTTTTTTGGAATGGTGACCCTCAACTACTAAAGAAAGTCCCACAAACTGCCAATGAATGGAGCCAGGCATATGACATCTGCAAGAAATACTTTGACAGGCTCAGCCCCAGTGATATAATTGTTTTCACTGACGAGATCACCTTTTCCTCACGTGCTATCAGCCAGGTAACTGTCTTCTTACAGCTTTGTTATTGTCAGGCGTTTTATAGTGTTGCTGCTGTGAGTCCAAAGAACGTGCAAAAAGTGCCTACCATATTTTTTGGTGTGATCCAAACTACTACTCTGCAGCTCTTGAGTCTAGGTACTTTCTGCAGGAATTCCGTGGCTTTAGCTCCAAGCAGAAGATTTAGCTTGCTTCCTGTCATCCCTCACAGCAGTGTGTATGCCCCAGCAAGCATTTGAGTGGTGTGTGCATTGCATTATGGCCTGCTCACGGCTGCGCCAGAGCTCCCACTTGTGTTTTAGCTAAAGTATTCTTACACACTGCTTCTGGGGTTAGGGTCTAACGAAAATTGCAGAAGTCTTCATAAGTTGAAGTAATGTATGTGCAGTCATCTTGAGTTTACTGTAGTTGCTTATATTTTATAAACAAAAGTCATCTTTAACCGCTTGAAGACCAGGTGTTTAGATCCCCTACCTGGCCAGGCCATTTTTCAGTGTTCAGCGCTGCAGTACTTTGACTGACATTTATTCCGTCACGCAACGATAAAAATTTGCTATTTGTATTCTGTGCAAAGCAACAGGTTTGCTTCAGTCCCCCTTTCCAGCACATGCTTACCTTTCCTTCACTGCCCCGCCTTTCAGTGGTGGTAGCCAATTCTTGATACTTGTGATAGTGTTGAGCCAATCACATGGGGAGTCCATTGGCCTGTGTGACTTACACTGCCGGTAGCTGAATAGAGGTCCTAATTAAAGTTATCCTTTTGTTTTGAATTGCATTGGCAAAGCACGTATTTACTTTAAGGCCTAACTCCCACCAAGGAATTTTTGTTGGGGGTGCTCTTTGATATTTATGTTGGGGAGATTTTCTTTCACTTCACTTTCTTTAACAATGGTAAATGGGTCATGAAGGGGAATCTCCACAACAAGGATGCAGATGGCAATAAAAACCTAGTAGAGGTTCTACGCCTTCCCCAAGTTTTTAAAACTGCTTTTCACTGATATATCCAGGGCTTGAAAAAATTGATAGTGTCTCACCAGTCAGTCAAAAATGTCACCAGTCAGCATGACCAGACTATAGCCTTGCAATTTATGTTAAAGTTTGGGGACAGATAGAGCTTTTTTTTGTAGGTATATAATCCCCACGTATATTTTACTATACAATAAAAAAAGTACCACAAATGTAGGAAAAAAACAAAAAAGTTTCCCTACGTTATGTTATAAAACATTTATTCTTACCCATATTTTTAGCAAAACATAAAAGTCGGGGTCACGTTGGGTAAATAGACACCAAACATGTCAAGCTTTAAAATTGCGTGCGCCCGCAAAATCGCAAAAAAACTCCCATAGGCGACGATTAAAACGCTTTTACTGTTCATCAGTTTAGTGTTTTAGTGTTATCAGTGATTAAAGGAGAACTATGGGGTTAGGCATTTTCCCTATAGTTCTCAGGGTAACGGGAGAACACAAATTAGCGTCCTCCCGTCACCCTAAGCTCAGTATATAGGGAGCTGCAGCTCGCGGTATACTGAGATGCCGCACCTGGAGCGGATCCCGACAATTATGTCTGGATCCGCCCAGCTGCGTGAGTGACAGCTGGCTCTGCCTATCTAGAGGCAGAGCCAGCTGTACCTGCCCCTCCCCCATCTGTTCTGCCAGTCAGCACTGGCGGAGCGGGGAGGGGGGAATCCAGCTCCTCCCCTGTCAGGGCAGAGAGCCGTGACAGGATCGAGAAGTGAGCGAACGCCGGTATGTGTTCGCTCACTTTGCGATCTACTGAGCCGACCTGCCGACCTGTGACAGTCTCATTGTCACAGGTCGGCTAGAACTATGAGGTGAGTGAAAAACACTCGCCTCATAGTTCTCCTTTAGGCTGGGTTCCCACCTAGGCGTTCGAAATATGCGTGTATGACGCGCGTTTTGGGGTGCATGTTTTAACCGCGATTTGCAGCCCTCAAAACGCGCCTTTACGAGGGCTATCCGGCTGTATCCTAATGGATACGCACGGGCGTAGGGCGTTTTTCAGCACGTTCCGACACGCTGAAATACCCCCAAGTGAGAACCATGCCCATAGGAAATTATGGGATTTCATTTGCTGGGAGTTTTACAGCGCGTCGATCAGCGCTGTAAAACGCCTAGGTTTGAACCCGGCCTTAATGGCTCTAAAATTATTGCTCTCACTCCGACGTTTGCGGCAATATGCAACATCTGCGGCACGTAGGCGCACATATGCGTGTGTATGTGGGGGGCGGGGACTTTAAAAAAATGTTATGCATTATTTTTTTTAATGTATCTTTCGTTTTTGTATTACTTTTTTTTTTTTTTACACACACACAACTTTATTGCTATTACATGGGGGGCTAATAAGCCCCCTATGGGATAGCCAATTTACATGACAGGTCCTCTTTATGGAGACATCAGGGGTCTCCAAGACCCCTGTCACCTAGGGACACCCAGAGAAGCTGATGAAGCAGAGATCGGATCTAGCTGGAGAGTGACACTGAATGCAAGAGAACTATGGGGTTAGGCATTTTCCCTATAGTTCTCAGGGTAACGGGAGAACACAAATTAGCGTCCTCCCGTCACCCTAAGCTCAGTATATAGGGAGCTGCAGCTCGCGGTATACTGAGATGCCGCACCTGGAGCGGATCCCGACAATTATGTCTGGATCCGCCCAGCTGCGTGAGTGACAGCTGGCTCTGCCTATCTAGAGGCAGAGCCAGCTGTACCCGCCCCCTCCACCGTCTGTTCTGCCAGTCAGCACTGGCGGAGCGGGGAGGGGGGAATCCAGCTCCTCCCCTGTCAGGGCAGAGAGCCGTGACAGGATCGAGAAGTGAGCGAACGCCGGTATGTGTTCGCTCACTTTGCGATCTACTGAGCCGACCTGCCGACCTGTGACAGTCTCATTGTCACAGGTCGGCTAGAACTATGAGGTGAGTGAAAAACACTCGCCTCATAGTTCTCCTTTAGGCTGGGTTCCCACCTAGGCGTTCGAAATATGCGTGTATGACGCGCGTTTTGGGGTGCATGTTTTAACCGCGATTTGCAGCCCTCAAAACGCGCCTTTACGAGGGCTATCCGGCTGTATCCTAATGGATACGCGCGGGCGTAGGGCGTTTTTCAGCACGTTCCGACACGCTGAAATACCCCCAAGTGAGAACCATGCCCATAGGAAATTATGGGATTTCATTTGCTGGGAGTTTTACAGCGCGTCGATCAGCGCTGTAAAACGCCTAGGTTTGAACCCGGCCTTAATGGCTCTAAAATTATTGCTCTCACTCCGACGTTTGCGGCAATATGCAACATCTGCGGCACGTAGGCGCACATATGCGTGTGTATGTGGGGGGCGGGGACTTTAAAAAAATGTTATGCATTATTTTTTTTAATGTATCTTTCGTTTTTGTATTACTTTTTTTTTTTTTTACACACACACAACTTTATTGCTATTACATGGGGGGCTAAGAAGCCCCCTATGGGATAGCCAATTTACATGACAGGTCCTCTTTA